GAGAGAGAGAGAGAGAGAGAGAGAGAGAGAGAGAGAGAGAGAGAGAGGCATAAGGGGTGGGATCTAATTTATAATTCTTATAATGTTCTAGTTAGGTCTGGTTGCTGTGCTAAAGGACAAACTAATACCTCCAGTATTAGTATCTAGTATTCTATCTAGAATCCAGTATCTAGTATCCAGTATTCTAGTATCTGTATGGTTACTATGGTGAATCACAGGCTTATGAAGCTGTCTAGGTGTATTTTTTTCAACTGTAAATCATGAGGAATAACTTCTGCTTGCCTCCAAGCTGTTATAATTTGAACTTATAGTTTGTACTCCACGGGCTCATGGATTTGAGCACTTGGACCCCTAAATGGTAGTGTTGTGTTGGGAGGTTGTAGAGTCTTTGAGACCATGACCTAGCTTGAAGATAACTTGATTAGAGCTCCCTGCTTCCTGAGGTGCTGATATGAACTGCTATGGCTCAAGCTCCTACTGTTTGAATGCAGTCCCTGCAGCTACCATGCCTTCTCTACCACGGTGGTCTGCACATCAGAAAATGTGAGACAAAATCATCAGCTCCTCTTTACGCTGCTCTGTCATGCATGGCCATGCTGATGATAAGAGTTACTAGCATACCAGCAGTGTTCTCAGGGAAAATGGGTTCTGTAGAAGATGAGGAAAGGTGATAGATAGTCTATAATCTGCTGTGGCAAAGGAAGGAACATCATCCTTATCACCTGTCCCCACCCCCTGGCTCCCAAGACTCATCTACAATCTCCATATCTTTCATTCAAAGCTAGTATGTTGAATTGGTGAGATTAAAACATATCTTTAAATAGCTATTAAAATAATAATGGCTTAGCACAACTGTAGAAGTGCCTACCTCCTTGATGTATCGCTTTAATGCCTCAGACTTATGACGTTTTAATGAACCAAAAGGAATCAGAATACAGCAAAAGGGGCCTGCTCCTCAAAGACATTTGCCATGAATTCTTAGGCAGATGTGAAATATGATCACTAATTTTTTGTTCATATATTGTATAGTTTCTTTTTTTTTTTTTTTAAGCAAGGCTCAATCACTTTTATATGCTGCTTCTACTGATTTGAGTGACCGGTCTTGTCAATCAATTTGTACCTGTGGGGTGCCAGGCTTCACAGGCTACCCGAGGTTGTGATTCTCATCAGATGAAGCCCCCCAGAAACCTGTAAAGAAATGTCACCTGCTTTGTGTGACAAACTTCTCACCCTCTTCTCACCAGTCTCCCTTCCAAGCTAAGGGCGGCTAGTGAGCACAGGACACGTGCTTGTGAGCACAAATAGAATCACACCGATCCCCGTCACTCATACTTTCTCGGTCTATCATATTTATAGATCCTCTTTGTCCCTTTACCCCCTGTCTCTCCCGCCTCTCTCTTTCCTTCCCTTTCTTCTTCTTTGTGATTGGCACTGGGATGCAAAGACAATGAAAGATGTGTTCCCTGCTACACAGAGACTCCTGCTGTAGATGGGGACAGGATGTGTAAAAGCTCAATAAACTGTATGCCCTAGAAATGAAAGAGAGAAGCTGTCAGTGTGCTCACTGAGGGATCATGGAGGGCTTTCAGGAAGTCACGTTGAGTTTGTTGGAGGAGAGTTGGACAACTGACTGCTGATAAGCAGGCTGACTGTCAGGCAGGCAGATGGAGAAAAATAAGAAACTGCACAGAGTGTTTACGGTATTGCAAAATGCTCAGCCCTGTTCAAGGATGATATTTGAGACATGTTAACTAGGTAAACATCATGGTGGGACATTCTCCAAGGTAGTATCTAACTTTCCTTAATTGTGGGCAAAGATCAGACTAAACAAATGTATCTTTCTGGCAGCTGTCTCCCCATTTTCTCCTCTTGGAGAACCCCAAGTCTTCCAGTAATGTATGGGAACGTGGGAGTTGTGAAGGGTATTGTGGTGGTAGAACATAAGACCAGAGTGAAAGATGGAGAAGAGAGGAAGCAAGCTCTTTTAAGAGTATAATTTTGAATAATTATGATTTTTAAATAAATTATAAATTGTAATAACAAAACCCCGCCCAAGCCGAACATTCAAGTTATAGTTGCATCTACCCATGCAAGGAGGGAGCTGTTCTGTTCAAGGAACTTCAGATGCCCTTGGCTATGCTTTGCTAAATAGCTCTGCTTGTCCTAAACACAAGCATAATTTAGTCTCCCGTCTTGAAAGCAAGAAGAGTTGTTCTTTGTTCCAAGGACTGGACAAATTGAAGTTTTCTTCTCTGTTTTTTGGAGGTCAGGTCGGGACTATCCAAATCTTGCCATTCTATCTAGTCTCTTCCAGTGAGCAGTCTCCTGGGGAATGCAAAGGGTCAAAAGGGTCCCCAGTAGGGGACTCTGGAGCCTGTGGAACAAAGATGCCTTTGGTCCTGCCGGGTGGTAACTAGGGACCCTACACAAAGTCATCTAACCTCAGAGATATGGTTTCCAAACAACTAATCGATGGAGATGTTGGCGTTGGTGTGAGATTGTCTATAAGCATCCAAGCACAGGTGTGTGAAACACGTGCTAAAAGCACAACGAAAGCAGAGAACAAGACCGTTTAAGGAAGTACAAAGGAGGACAGCTTACCCTTTGCTGGAAAAGGTCTCTGGTGGCTTCAACAGATCAAAGGAAGAGATTTGCTTTTCATCTTGTATCTTCAGCTGTATGGGTCGTTTGACTCCCCAGAAAATGTCCAGCATCCCCTCAACAATCAGCTGTCCATCTTCAGTCTAAGGAAGAAGCCATTACCCAGAGTAACTGTTTTTGCAAAGTTAAACACTTTAATTGAAGGTGTAGAAAGTCAGTCTGTAGGAGCCTTTACTAGGTTTAAACATCTCTCAGGACGGTTTATTTGGCTCTCAGCCTATCTGCAAAACAATTCTAATTTTGAAATATTCTTTTATTTTTAAAACAGTGTACCTGATTAAAAAAAAAAAAGCCACAGTGTGTTTTGCATGTTCACCAATACTGCATTAAAACATCTTCTCAGTTCTGGTTCTTGGATTAGATGGAGCTATATTGCTTTAGTTCCATTTAATTTAAAGGTGTGACCGCTTTAAAAACTATACTGAATTAGAGATTAGAATAAATATTTGCTGAGAGACTTAACAGTTATTTGAATAAACAGGAATAATTTAACTCATAATATTATATAGTTAAAAAGAAAGAATGTTCATGAAAGGGTGGTGGTGGCACATGCCTTTAATATCAGCACTCAAAGAGGCAGGCGGGTCTCTGTGAATTCCAGGCCAGCCCAGGCTATATACTGAGATTCCATCTCAATAAAAGAAAGAGGATGTGTATGAAAACATACTATATAATACAAAATAGAGCAGGGGAACCTGAGTTCTGAGCCCCAACACCTGTGTAAAAAGCCAGGCATGACTGTGTGTATCTATAACCCTAGCACTGGGGGCTGGAGACAGTCTGAGTGCACGAGCTTTCTGAACAGCCAGCTTAGCCCAAAGCTGCAAGCTTCCAGTTCATCGAGAGACCTTGGTTCAAAGCAAGAAAGGAGAGAGAACTGAGACATCCTGCTCACATGTGACCGTGGCATGAATGCTTGCATATTCACATACATGAAACATACACACATGCACACACACATGTACACACACACACACACACAAACACACACAAAACACTGAGATGCATCTGTAAAAAAAATAATAGTTTTTGAAGTACTCATTCAAAATAAAAATAGCATAACAAAGGGAGTAAATGTGTAAGTGAAGAAAAATTAAAACATAGGTATGTGTGTGAATATATATATATATATTACAAATATATATATATATATTACAAATACATGAAATATTCAAAACAAAGCAATTCTCATATAATTTTTCAAACTTATGTTTTATAGCATCTATGTAACCTCTTTTATATTAACTATTTTTTTATTAAGGAAATACATTATTGTTTTAGAAACTTTGAGAATATAGAAACTTGAAAGTTATATTAAAAATCACTGACTACAGCTACTATGAGAAGCCAATTGATAGGCAATATAAACGACTATGGTATTTCTCTAAACTTTCTAAACTGTTGTCATTGTACGGTGGCACACAGCCACTGGAACTCAACACACTCATTTTACAAACATCTCAAACTTGGCTTTACATATACAGCATGACTTGTAATAATCCCTCCCTGCTGGACGAAGGCACCATCACATGTCTTTCTGCAAACAGGGTCACAGTGCACACCTCTCCACACATGTTGCTGTGAATGCAAGAAAGCAGTGGATTTACTGTTCGTAGCATTATCCATATTTGAGAAATACTCCATTTTTAAAACAGAAAGCAAATGTGTCTTTAAAATTACTTGTATGTTTTTCTACGTCATAAATACTTAGAAACTTGCAGACATCCAAGCCTACTATTTTGTGACATAGCCTATGAAAATGAATAAATTTTCATTATTAAAGATTATAAGTTAAAGATTTATCTGCTTCTTTGGACCACATCTGAAACTAGGTTCTAGACTTGAGCCTGCCCTGACACACCATCTACATGGTTACAGAACATAAATACTAATCTGTTTTCTGTGACTCAAGCTATTGCATTCCTTTAATGGGCTTACCTGTCCATACAATATATGCAGATTTTTCTGGTTTTCATAGAAAACATTATAAGCCTCCAGTAAAGAATTGAGTTGTTCCCTAAAATGAAAAAAAAAAAAAACATTAACAAGTTACAATCAATCTTAAGCCTCAGAACAGCTAATATTGTACTTTTTATTTCATTAAAGTATGAGACTAAAAAAGAAATGTTTCTGTGGAATCGGTATTATCCTGCCATTTTAAGTTAAGGTACACCATGGAAATCAGAAGTATTCTTAGAACATTAACACATTTCAAATATGCTAATTAGTAATTAAAATCCATGGGGGGTGACTGGAGACAGTACTGGTGGAAGAGCTTGGTCAAAGGAGGCAGCTATGAAGCAAATATGGTTTACATTTTGCTTTGTTTTGTTTCACAACAGTTAACTATCTGTTTCTCAACAGTTAACCACCCAGACACTAAACACCTGCCACCCGCATGACATCACGGTTCTCTTTGATGTTAAAACAATAGTCAGCTTAACTAATGTCTGCTGCTCCAGAGGAATCTCAGTCAAGTGACAGGTGGACCCTGTGGGAGGCACAGGTGACAGGTGGACCCTGTGGGAGGCACAGGTGACAGGTAGACCCTGTGGGAGGCACAGGTGACAGGTGAACCCTGTGAGGGTACAGGTGACAGGTGAACCCTGTGGGAGCACAGGTGACAGGTAGACCCTGTGGGAGTCACAGGTGATAGGTGGGCCCTGTAGGGACACAGGTGACAGGTGGATCCTGTGGAGGCTCTGGTACCTGCTATGTGTCTGCCCTTCCCTCTGAATCATCATGTCTGGAGAAGCTTACCGTCTCACCTAGATTACAGAAATGGACTCCTACAAGGCTTCCTGTATCTATTGTGAATTCTTGATCATAGAAATTATTTTATTGTGAACTCAGCCATCTTTCTCCTTTGCTCAAAACTCCTCAATGTCTTCTCAGAACAGAATCCAATGTCCTTTTGCTACGGTGACTTGAGAGACGGGGTTTGATCTACTTCTCTGTCACTTCATCGACCTTGCTCCGTATTACTCTTTCCGTCACTCACCACGCTCAGCTTTCCCCATGTCTCTCGGACACACCAGGGCCTTGGGCCTTTAGATTTGCTGATTGTTCCTCTCGAATGACCTCCTCCTTCACCATCACATTGGTATATCATTCATTCATTTCCTTTAATTACTTAATCAAAAACCAGCTATGGGGCTGAAGAGATGGCTCAGTGTTGAGAGCACTGGCTAATCTTCCAGAGGACCTGTGTTCTAGTCTCAATATCCACTTGTTTCACAACTGTTCATAACACCAGACCCAGAGGACACAATAGTTTCTTCTGGAGCCTTCATGTACATGGTACACAAACATACATGTAAGCGAAACACTACACCCATACACATAAACTATAACTACCCCTCCATTAATAAAACAGTCATCTATGTACAGTGTCTTTCTTCACCATCTATTCTAAATCTTTGCCTCTTCCAATATTTCATTTCTTGCTTTCTTCCTTCACCTCTGCCTCTAGGTATCCTCTAATGATCCACAAATGTGACTTCCTTCCCCCAAGCCCCTTTCTCTCTCTGTCTTTTTTTTTTTTTTAGACAAGTCTCACTATGTAACCTTGGATGACCTGTAATTCACTGTATAGACTACGCTGGCCTCAGATTTATATCAATCCATCTGCTTCTGCCTCCAGATTGTCAGGATTAGAGGCATAAACCACCATGTCTGGCTGAAACTTGACTTTTTAGTTGTGTGTTCTGTCTTACCCACAAGAATGAAACTCCTTGAAGGTGGCATGTTTGGAAGTTTTATTCAGATTTTCTGTCTCTGGTAGTAGAGTATTTGGTACATGGTAGACAATCAGTCAATTCTAGTTAAGTAAATTTATCAGAACACCCTCTTCCAAAAAAACAACCAAACAAAAAACAATAGTAATAAGATAAAGAAGAAAAAGCTTGTTTTGTGGAAACTTATTTATTGAAAACTATTCTATAACATTTTAAACCTAGGTATGTCATTGTTCACATCTTCTTGGTCTTTGAATACCTTTGCTATTCTCATACAGGCCATGAGAGCTGTTGAGTTGGTTTCATTTGCTGACTTTTCCTGTTGATTAGAGTGGATTCTTGCTCATCAGAAGCTGTTATTCAACAAACACAGGCTGGATGCTGAACAGCAGGCTTTATGCATGCTGCTTGTACATGTTGGAATCCTAACAGCATGCTTTTCGTACTTACTTTTTCTCACTTGCAATTTCCAGTGTGCACATTTCCAGGGGCCCATACATTCCAGGCAATGGCCACAGAAAGAATCCCAATGAAGGTCTTCAGGCTACTGTTCCCTTTCCCAAATGGCTTATTTCAATTTTTTATGTTAATGAATATTTCTGTTCCAAATTTCACCAGTTACACTGATTTTGTTCCTTTGGAGTCGTTACTGGGAGATACTTCCTTTGAAATTGTACTACCACTAAAATGCACGCTTGCCCTTTATAAGCTTTAATGCCAGAGCAGCACAAAGAAGTTCAGGTTCACTAGGGATTCAAGTCCAGATATGCTGAGCTCAGAGCATCGTTATGAAAGCATACAGAGCTTTACGTAATCTCACTTCTCAGCTTCTGGCAAAACCCCATATGTGGTGGAGCACAAATCTTTGAAGCATCACTCAGGAGCATGCAATGGAAATGTTCGGTCCCTGAGCAGAGGTGACTACATTCTACAAAGGCCTTTTAACTCTGTGCATCTCATCAGAAAGACAATTTTAGTTTACCGACCCAATGAAAGATGGGTGTACCTACCATTGGAAGAAATGTTAGCTTGTGATCACACTAATATACCAGGTTGATTAGTTGAAACTAGGGGCATAAGGGAATAAGGAGTTACTCCTCTGTGTCTGGTAATTCAAATGAAACATGGTAACAGAAAGCCTGACCTAATGCTATTTAATCATACATGGCAGAATCACTATGTGGGCACAGGCAAAAAACCCAAGTCACGTGTCAAAGGTGAGCACAACATGGTCCCTGTGGTGAACCTGGATAGGCAATAACTGAACCAGAAGAACTAACTAGGTCAGGGGGACAAATTCATATCATCATTTCTTCAGTCTGTATGAGAAATTCAGAGTTGAGGGTCTAAGCATGTCCTGGGGACTTGTAAGAATGAGCATTTTAAGAACCTTAAATTCATTCTCTGGGCAATGGGAAGCTGGTGAAGTTCTAGGTGAGAGGAAGACAGGCCAACACTAAAGACAGTAGGTAGAGAGGTGCAAGTGGATTTTGGCACAAGATAACGTGAAGGCAGTAAGGGAGACTGAGACCGTCATAACACCGAGGCCCAGGAACATGGCTGGGAAGACAATTGAATGCCCCATATATATGGAATGATCTAGAGTCTATAAGGAGTCTAAAATAACTGCAGTATAGGCACTTATGGCTAGGGTATAAAAACTGCTATGAAGGTTTGTTTTATTTAATTTTATTATTAATTTATTTAAGCAGAATTTTAAGAGCCCAGTTAGGTAGAACCATTTTTAATGAATAAAAAAAAAGTTGTACATTTTCCTGCCTCGACTTCTAAATAAGTCCTTACCTAACACAGACCAAAGCCATTCAAACACTCTGATAAAGCTCTAAAATGGTTGCTTAGAGAAAAGTTACATATCTGGTCTTTTTACAGTTTATTTTTATTTTTTAATGAACCTAGGATGTCTAGAAGCCCACAGAGACAGCAAAGGGAAAACTTGAGATTTCTTTTGGAACATAAAATATCACCTCACAGTACATACCATGTGTTTTTAAGGACATCTTCACACACTGCATTAAGAGGAAGGTCTTTTTACTGAATTGAGAAATGTCAAATTCTATACAAACTAAATTTCTATCTGAAGGAATTCATGGACCCAGCAGTTTTCACCACAGAAATTGGCATCCTAACACTGGCACTTCAGGGATATGCCTAGAATTCTCTAGCATGGGTTCTGGAGGAAAGCAAGCCAGATATCTAGCAAGCTGTGGAGGAACTAGCATGGGAAGGAGAGGAGCCAAGGGTGAGTCCTGCTTGGCTTCCGTGAGTTAATAGCGTATGGGACTGAACTGTAAATGCTAATGTGCACTTTGTACCTTGTGGCTGGGACTGCAGCTGCTCAGCAGATGGGTACTACCACCTCATGACAAGTGTCACTGACAAGTGTCACTGACCGTGAACTTAGCGAGAAAGGAGTTCCTTTTCCTACCGTGTGATTCAGCTGTCTAGAGGAAGCATTCGGTTTTGTCAACTGCAACAAACATGGACATGAGACAGGACCCTGGGTAGAAGGTCATGATGTTTCATATCCAGAGACACATGGATGTCAAATCTGAGTTGTAACATAACAACCTCCTCATTTTTCCCGTTGTTCAGAGCATCTGTAACATGGTTCCTCTATGCTTTCCCTGGAAACCAGGGAGCCCTCTTCCATTCTTGATCTTTATAAATTGGACTCAGTATGAACAAGATACAGATATTGTCACAGGCTATAACCCAACACGAGCTTCTGAGACTACCTTGTACCAAGTAACACCCATGGCTATGATTGGCTGTGTCTCCTATACCTGTATCACTCTCTGGGGGACTTGTTGGAAAATGTTGGTGGTTCAAGTCAGTCATTGAAGTGTAGCCTGATGTTGAAATTAGGTGACATTCCCTGTGGATCCTCCCATGTTTTAGAGCAGGACTGTTTTACTTGAGTCCCTTCAACACCCAGGGTAGAATATGAACACCCACACCTTTTTGTTTCGCACATTTAGTTTTTTTTTACTTCATGGACTGTTTTTTTCATAATATCACATTTTAGCAATGAGATAATTTAACAATTTCATATGGTCTGCTCAAAATGTTTAATTTAAAACATTTTGGGGGCTAGAGAGATGGCTCAGCGGTTAAGAGCACTGGCTGAGTTCAATCCCTAGCAACCACATGGTGGCTCACAATCATCTGTAATGGGATTTGATACTCTCTTTTGGTGTGTAGGCATACATTTAAGCAGAACACTGTATACATAGTAAATAAATAAATATTAAAAAACATT